AGACCAGACTGCTTACTTACCGCCGTGCTCGAGCGTACTCTACCCGACACCACGCCTCTCCCAGACCCCACGTCAATTGTGATGATAGGATCGTCATAGCCTACGTGTACATTCAGGAGGAAACTTATGGGGATGAGTTCGTCGCATTCAATCTTATCAGCCTTTATATATATCACGCCAAGGTATTTATATATCACACTAAGGTAATCACTCAGACCACACGTCAGTGGGACAGATCCGACATATTTTGCACATATATACCTGAAGTGCATAACGAACACCCGCAATCGATGAGAAACACAGTGTGTGGGGAGCTGTACAACCCAGACTGACTGTTGTGGAGAGATATATGCCGATCGTGCATTTGATAGTCCTAGAAATCATATCACAAACCCATCACATGCGATGAGCCCGATGCCGCGCCTACAGCACCCGGTAGTAGTCTATTATTAGAACGTAGTAGTCTACTTTTAGAACTTAGTCTACTTTTAGAACTTGGGTCTATTTTTAGAATGTAGTAGTCGATTTTTAGAACGTAGGAGTCTATTTTTAGAACGATGCATATGCACCCATTTGCTGCCTTGAGACATATCCATCACATAAACAAAGACTCACAGCTAACCAGTGTTTGTTGTTTTTAAACAACACAACGGATTCAACGGATGTTCAATAGGAACTCAGGACATATCATCGAACGCTGCAGTGTAAAACGTACAACCATCTCTGACAAGGAGCAATATAATGTACCTATTCAAGACAGACCTAAGGACATATGAACGCATGAGTTGGTCCTACCTCGAGACTACCCCCCCCACCACACACACACACGCCCAGTATAGGATTCTGCGCGTAGGGTTAGCGTTACTATAGCAACTACATCACAATCTGCGCAGATGCTCGAGAACACTTGGGGTATACCTATGAAAGAACCGAAGACAACAAATGTGTGGTGACACCATAGACTGTTTTTGTAGAGATACAGGCACACACACCACATCACACTCTAATATACCAAACCATACCACACTACAGCACAAGCGACCCACACCACAGTACAGATCACATCACAGGCTGCGATGTCGTACAGGATCGCTTGGGATGTACCTAGGGATGAGCCGCCAGCGATAAAGGTGTGGGCAGTGTGCAATGGCCAGTCCATATACCAGAACCCGCCCGAGGCGGAGAAGTGGTTTGATTCGGTCAGCTCCTGAGCGTACTGGATCACCCCAGTGGTACCGAGCGAACTTAAGGGAGAATACAATGTGGTATCGGGATGTGGTCCAGAAGTCACAAAAGAAGGTGCAATAAACGCTAAAAACGGGTAGGATAAATGGGAATCACATCCTCGAATGGACAGAATAGGCGCTTTGGTAGTTTAGAACATATGGCCTACGCCTATTGGCTTTTATCAGGAGCTGATCTGGTCTAGCAAATTAAAAGTAAACTTCATGGCATCGAGAGGGAAGGTGCTGGCGCTTGTTTAAGAGTATGTACTTCACACTATCTTCCAATACGTTTACGTTTATGTACATGAATATAAACCGACCTGTATAACGATGCATATACAACCATACATCCCTTCCAAGTATACGACAATATCAGCATGTGGAAAACACACACCTGAACCTTTGTATGCACAGCCTAGCCCCCATTTGCGGAACGCCACTTTCTATATAGGCTAGAGGCGGCGGTGAATCTGCACCGGATTCTGATGCGCACCGACAGAATGAGACAATGTGTTGATATAAATGTGAATATAGCAGTAGAATATGCACCATGATCCAATCGAGGTATACATCCTTAAATATAGGGCTGAATCGTTTCAAGAATCCTACCTCTACAATAGTGAACAGTAAGATAATGTATGGTGTACAATGTTTCAGTACAGATATATAATAATAAATGCATAGAACTTTATATATATTTATATATACATATGTATA